GAGAGAGAGAGAGAGAGAGGGAGGGAGGGAGGGAGGGAGGGAAGGAAGGAAGGAAGGAAGATGATTCTGGGATGTAGCTCAGCGTGGAGATAGAATAGGGGTGGGCTCTAGATTTGGGGGTTAAGTGAGCCGCAGAAATACAGGTGGAGTTGAGATGGGTCGGGACTGGGCTCTAATGTAGAAGGAGGATGCGGCTGGGCTCGAGTGCGGGTGGTTAGCGATGTTCTACCCGAGGCTGGGAGGGAGTAGGGCTGTGGCTGGTGAGCTGGGTTTGAGAAGGCTCACGCTGACGGGTGGGGGGTTCCGGGTTCGGGTAGGGCCAGGGTGGAAGTGGGGGATGAGGCTGGGGCTCAGGAGGCTTTAGGGATGGGGCCTGGCCTCAGTGAGAGGTGTCACGCTGGAGGCAGCAGAGCCTGAGATGAGCAGGGGCTCGGAATGGCTGCGGGTGGACGAGGCCAGGGTCACCGACTTGGGAGGAGCATGGAGCCAGGCCCGGCTGGGCTGAGGAGCACCAAAGCAGGGGGTGGAGCCTGGCCTGGAGAGGCGGGGCCTGGATGGGCGGGGCCTGGAGGGCAGGCCTGGCCCAGGGGTCCTACTAGAGTCTGGCCCAGGGACGTGGCGGAGAAAAGGGAGGAGCCAGAGCTCCTGGGCGGAGCTAGAGTTGGGAGCTCCGGGTGTGAGAGGTGAGACTGCCACGCGCACTTCTGCACGTGGGCGCTGTGACACGAAACAGGGTCACACTCAGCGGACCTGTGGACGCCCGTACCCAGCCGCTCACAGTGCAAACAGGGCACCTTCCCACAGGCACCCGCTCACGGTGACGGCCACTTCCGGACACTCGGTCCCTTTAGGTGGGCTCCGGGAGCCCAGATCCGCAGTGACAGTCACACGACCTCAGACAAACACAAAGTTGCGTCCAGTCACCTGACAAAGGCCCAGCAACATCCACGATCACGGGTGGTTACCGCAAGCACACTCACATCCTGTTGTGTTGCACGCAGTTCCCCCACACAGGGACCAGGAAAGCCCAGACACCCTCAGGCATTCTCAGAGCCACGGTGCCACACTCAGCAGACACGCAGCAGCGTTCCCAGCGCCACACACGCTCACACACGTGGTTGTGAAGCCCCACAGTCTCGTCGCACACGAGTCCCAAAGGGTTAGTTCCACTGCCACACCAGTCACGTGATACGGGACCAGGGACCCCGCCCAGGCACAAGCCCGCAGGTCCATGCAGGCAGCCACCCCAGTCCCATGCGTGCACGTGGGGGTCCGGGTTACCTGTGGCCCCCAGAATCAGGGCCGTGATCAGGGTACCCAGCATCCACATCCGGATATCTCCTGCTCTGGCCATGGCCGCTGCACCTGGAGGGGACAGGATGGAGAGGTGGCTCTGGGAGTCTTTGCCCACTTCCCTCCCTGTCCTGCCTTGTGCTTGGGGACAGAGGGGGACCACAGAGTAGTGACAAAAAGTCCCAGCAGTCATCAGTGCTGAGGTGAGACCCTGGGAATCAGAGGCCCTGACAGCCAGAGAGGAGGGAGGGGAGGGAAGGAGGGAGCGAGGCAGGAGCATCCCAGACTCGGCCGGATGAGGACCTCTCCTGCACGCCGTGGAGCCCCCTCCCCAGCTCACCTGCCTCGTTTGGGTGGTGGGTGAGGGGCTGGCTTCTGGCAAGCTGCAGATTCCTCAGCCCGTGCTGCCTTCCTGCCTGCCCAAGCCTCTTTCTCAGCTCCCGTAAGGCCCTGGGTTGTAACCGCCCTCTGGTCCCCCGGGCGCATTCCAGGGGAGTGAGGCGCCCGGGTCAGGCCGTCAGTCTGTCAGCCGGCTGACAGTCGGTAATCGCTCCTGCAGCCTCGCCTCACCTTCCCTCCGCGCCCAGCAGCCCTCACCTAGCCCGAGCCACTCCCAGCCTGCCCACGGAGGATGGGGAGGGTCTCCCCAGACTCCCATGGCTGCTCACCCCTGCTGGGCCTTCCTCCTGGCTCAGGTTTCTTCTGCGCCTTTCATTCATTCTGCCTCTCTCTCGCCTTACTTCTTGTACCAGGTTTGTTTTTTAAACTCTCCCATCAGATCTTTGTTTTCTTTTCCCACTGAAACTTTCTGAATCTCTGAACTTGTGCTACCCACTGAGAGTCTGTCTGTCTGTCTGTCTCTCGTCTCAGGGTTGCTTTCTCTCTGTCTCAGTGTCTCTGTGCCCCATTCCTTTCTCTCTGTCATGCTGCCTGTCACTGTGATTCTCTGGAAACTGTCATATCTACTTTAGAATTCTCAAGCCTTTTATTTTCCTTTATTTCTCTTCTGTTTTACAATTTTACAGTACAATTGAGGTTCAGTAAACTGCACACATATAAAGTGTGCAACTGTATATGTCCTCTCCCCCTCCCCCCACTAGGGCCCCTTCACGTGTATCTGTGATTCTCTGTTAACCTCTTTCTCTGTACCTGTTCCTCCAGGTCTATCTTACACTTTTATTTTCTCTGTCCTTCTCAGTCTTTTCAGTCTGTGCCTCATTCTCCTCTCTCTCTCTCTCTCTCTCTCTCTCTCTCTCTCTCTCTGTTTCTCCCTCCCTCCTCTGACCCTCTCTGTCACCGGCTCTGACTCTTGCTCTTCCTTTATCTTTCTGTCTCTGTGCCCTGCATTATGGGCCGGGGAGACCCAGGTCACCTTGCAGAGAATCCTGAATCCCTCCTCTGTCCCTCTCTCCGGCGTGCAGGCCAGGGGGCAGACAGGTAGGGCTCAGTCTGGGGCCTTGGCCCAGCTGGTGTCTGGTGTAGCTGAATGTGGGTGACAGGATTGGGCAGGGCCACCTGCTAATGGAAAAAGAGGCCAAGAGCCAGGATCGGGGGCGGTGGCTCCTGGCCTTTGGAAATGGGGCGTTGGGTGGGGCGCCGAGCGGTGGTGAGGGCCACCTCTCCTCTCCTCTTCTTTGTTCAGGTTCTTTCTGCCAGGCCCCCACTCTCTGTGCAGGTCTGTCCTCACTGGGAGGTGGAGCCACACACTCATCTCTCGGGTGCCAGACATGATCTGTCCTGGACAAAATGACAAAGACTCAAGATGCTGTCCTCACCGGGCCCCAGGCCCTGGGGCTGGAAACCGACTCTCGCCCAGGTAGACAGCCCAGCACCTGCTCAGCAGCAGGCTTTAGAGTCCTAGGGTTGGTTTTCGTACAGAGAAAAAAAGATGAAACCCGAAGCCCAAGCCTACTTTGAGGTTTATTTTAATTTACATGTATTGATATTTTGTGCATGAAAGTGACCTGATTAACAACCTACTTCTTACCTACAATGTACCAATAAAAGAATTTAATAAAAATAAAAAATAAAAAAAACCCAACCTACTTCTTTCTAGGTATTTTTTCCCCCACCTCTGTGGTCTTTTAAGTTCAGCTTACAAACTTTTAATTTTTGGTACAGTGTAACAGTCACTTTTATGGCATCTTTACCATAAGCCTAGTTAATTCCAATGCCTTCAAACATTTTAAATTACATTTCTCAAAACAACACATTCAGTCTCTTGGAAGTCTCCTAGTTTTTAGGCTAAATGTCCAGAGTAATTCAGGAAGTTGGCACGTCTGAGTACATCGCATTTATGAATGTGATTAATGTCAGGTTCTCCCAAATATTCCGATACCAGACACCAACTTGGCATGACTCCAATTTAAAAAAACACAGATTAACAAATTACATGTTTTAAAGTCAAGTCACAGGGCTCTCCGTCCTGAAGAAAAAATTGTCCTAGACATGCAAGCACCTTCAATGCCAAATGTGTGGATCGCCTTTCCCAGCATGTGCGAGCGAGGGCCCTAACCTTTCTGTGCTGAAGCTAAGGCCCTCAGAATTAAAAGAAGTCTTCTGTGTGAGGGGCAGGGGGTGCTGAACTTATGGCACCAGACTCCTGGCATTTAAATTCTAACTTAGCCACCTATCAAGTAAGACTTTGGCCATACCATGGGCTCTCCGTGCCTCAGTTTCCCTGTCTGTAAAATGGGAACAATAATGAAAGGCTTGTTATGAGGATCAAATGACTTCATATATGTATTTAGAACAGTGCCTGGCACGTGCTCATAAGTGTTTTAAAATTATTATCAGTGTCACCCTGGTTCTAGGTATTATCATCATTCATATTCTCCAAGAAGGAAGACAATTCCCTCCCAAATAACTGGAGGGGACTCTAAAGACCCCAGGATCTTCACAGCTCTGTTCCCATTCATAACTTCTGGAGAGGGTTGGTCAAAGTGGTCAGTGCTATACCTGTGACTTCATATTTGTCTGGTCCCTGAACCCAGCTCCGTGACGAGATGCCACATCTGTTTGATTTCCAGAACAAAGACCTTAAATTCTTTCTAATACCCAGGCCAGCCCCTGTCCTCTTCCCTTTTTTCCCCAGTGGCCTCAGGATCAAGTCCAAGTTCTCCAGCCCGGCCCTCAGGGACGTCATCTTCCCCTGACCTACATTTCTGGCCTCCAGGTCCCCTCACACCCCAGGCTTCTCCATGTGGTGGACTCATAGCCACTTCCCCTCCATCTTTTCTTCCTGCACCATCGCCCCAAACCTTTTGGGGGGCAGCTCCAGTCCCTCCTGTCTGCTTATCCTGCCGTGCTGCAGCTCACAGCCCTCCCATGACCACTGGTTACCTTTACTGCTACAAAGTGGGTTCAGGAACGAGCTATCCCCGAGGCCCGGCCCAAGGTGGACAAGTGGAGGGCCTTCCCCAGAGCGGGGGGAAATCAAGTTTCCTTGTAAAAGAGAACTGGGAAGAATCTGTGCTTCCAAGAGGCACAAGTGAAATAAAAGCAAAAAAAGGCCTTGGGATAAAATCCGCCTTTTATTGGGCACATGGAGGGAGCCAGGCACTGCTCTGTGCGTCGCACGTGTTTGAAGCCTTTCATCCTCCTAATGGCCAAGGTCTTGTGAGGAACGTTTCACTGTCCTAGTTTCACAGGTGAGGAAACGCTCTCTAAAGTGAAGCGTTTCTCAAGGGGACACAGACAGCAAGCAGCAGAGCTGGAATTGCATCTCCAGGAAGGAAACAGACCCTTGGAGTGACAGGCGGGAGGAGGGCTCTCCCTATGCCCCTTGGAGTTGCAGGCAGCACCCGGATCCTCCCTGTCCCCACCCCTAGTGAGGCAAGGGTGGGGCTGGGGAGCAGCCAGGGAGAATGGGTGCTCTCTGGCCTGTCACTCCCCTTTCGAAGCATCAAAGGCCGGATGGGCAGGCGAGGCCTAGGGAGAGACTCCGGAGCCAGCCAGGGGTCAGAGAGCAAGAGCTGATGTGTGTGTCAGGGCCAGTGGCCTCGCATGGTTCTTTGGATCCAGCTGACGTATCTGCAGACGTCAGTGTAGACTCCTGGCTTCTCCTTGGATCCGCAGGGGACGTTACCCCAGGACACCAGGCCCCGGAGGCGGCCTCCACAGACCAGTGGGCCCCCGGAGTCACCCTGTGGGAAAGAGGGAAAAGGTCAGACATGGAAACCCAGAGACAGAGCCATGCACAGAGGAGAGTTGGAGAAACTCAGACATGGAAGGAAAGACTGGAGGACAGAGATGAACAAACAGATCCGCATAAAGAGACTCAAAGGCATGGAGAAACAGAGGCAGGAACACCAAGGTCCAGAAAGGTATGTTCAGAAAGAAAACACAGCGAGAAAGAAAGAAAGGAGATGGAGCAGTGTGGTGGGATGCAGAGGGTGAGGGGAGACACAAAATAACACAACATAGCCACACATGGTGCCACACACCCATAGTCCCAGATTCTGGGAGGCTGAAGCAGGAGGATCACAAGCTCAAAGCCAATGTGGGCAACTTAGCAAGACCCTGCCTCAAATAAAAAAATAAAGGGGCCAGGGATTTAGCTCAGTGATGCCGCCACCTGCCTCACAAGCTTAAAGTCCTGCGTTTGATCCTTGGCACCAAAAATAAAAAAATAAATAATTTTATCAAATTGAAACTGTATAGGTTTTTCCTTTTTTGGGGGGGAGGTACCGGGGATCGAACTCAGGTCCTTGTGCTTGCGAGGCAGGTGGCAGAACCACTGAGCTAAATCCCTGGCCCAACGAAACTGTATAGGTTTTAAAAATAAAGACATTTTAGAAAAATAAATAAATAAATAAATTTATTGGGGATGTAACTCAGTGCCAAGGTCCTGGGTTCAATCCCGAGAAACACACACACACACACACACACACACACACACACACACACACACACACACACACACACACACACACACACGAGACAAGACAGGAAGCAAGAGGAGGGGAACACAGAGACCTGGGAGAGGTGCACACAGCCTCCCCACTCGTCCTGAGAACACCCTTTCTTTGCCCTGTCTTTCCTTCCGAATCACTGTCTCCCTTTCTTGGTCTCCTTCTCGAACTTCTGGGCTGCCTGTGGGTGCCCTCAAGGCTTTGGTCAAGTTGGCATAAAGAGGAGAGCCTGGATGGACAGCAGCAAGGGACGCTCCCGCTGGAGGCACTGAGGAGCAGGATGGGGCCCCTCTCTCCAGTACGTGCCCCTCCTCCAGGGTGTTGGGGCTCTGAGGAAGGGCAGCTCCCCTGCACCTCCGCCTCTTTACTGTGTCTCTCTGGTTCTCAGTGTCCCTATGCTTCCTGCCTCTGCCCCCTGTCTCTTTATTTGTCTGTCCCTTGCCCGTGTCTCTGTGTTGGGGACCGAGTCTCTCTCCTGTCCTCTGATTCGGTATGCGTCTCTCTGCCTGTCTCCTGCCCGGTTTCCTCGTCTCTGTGCTGGCCGCCTCACCTGGCAGGCATCCTTTCCTTCTTCCGGATCTCCAGCACACACCATGTTCCTGGTGATCTGGCCGGGGTAGGCCTGATCGCACTTCTCCTGGGGCACGATGTGGACATAGGCACACTGGATGGTGTCAGGAAAGACACCTGGCGGGAGAGATGGGCCGGGCTCACTCCACGGCCCACCTTTCCCTCAGCACAGCAGCCACCCTCCAGCCCCTGCAAGTCCTGGCCCCACCATGAGTCCCCGCTTTCCACTGGTCCTTTCTTCCCGTTTGTTTCCAGGGTCACTGCCTCCTGATTGGGCCCTTTCTCGGCAGTCTTCCTTCCCATTAGCCTGACTTCTTCATTGGTCATCTCTTCTCCACCAATTATTTCCTACTATAGTTTTCCCTTTCCCTTAGGTCCTGCCTCTACTTGTCTCTTAAGCATGGACCCCATCTTCTTAAGTCCTTCTGGTTGACCTATAGGAACTTTTCCCTCTATTTACCCTCCTGGGCATTAGTTTGTCCTTCACTAGCTCCTCTTGTCCATTTGTTTATTCTGATCAGTTATCACTTCACTATTGGTCCTTTCCTAGTCAGTCCTGCCCTTCTCCATTGGCTTTCCATTCCTATTGGCTCTTCCGTTAATGGTACACCTCCCTCATTGGTCCTTTCTTAACTGATCCCACCTCCTCCAGTGACTCTCATTTCCTATTGGCTCTTCATGCAGGAGAGCCTCCTTTTTTATTGGTCTTTCTCTCACAGGCCCACCTTCAGTGGCTCCTACAGATCTGCTGGCTCTGTTAAATCCTTTCTGCAGTGATCCTCTCAACTAGTGACCCTTTCCCAGTTGGTTCCTTTCCCATTAACTCTGCAGGATTCACACCCTTCACTTGGGTCCCCGATTATTTCAACACCCTTCCTCCATTACTTCCATTCCTCCATAATTTTTCTTGGCATCCAGTCCTTCCTAATATATCTCTACCGACCTCCCCTCTTCACTGGCCCTTTGCTGAATGACCCATCTTTACCATACTCTTCCCCGCTGGTCTCCTCTCCTCTGGCTCTTTACTCAGAGGTGCAGCTTCTAAATTTCTCCCCTCTCTCCTTGGCCCTCCACATCAGCACACTGTCCCCCGGCCTTCACCCCCTACCACCTTCCCATGCCTATTACCTGCTGTCCCAGCTTCCTCTTTGACCCTTCGCCCCCTTGAGGCAAGCCCGCCCCATCCGCCTCCCCTTACTGACCTTGTTCTGTCTTGCCCCAGCCCAGGATGTGGCAGCGGGGTGATCTGGCCCCACAGTCCCTCTCCAGAGGCAGTGGCTGGATCCAGTCGGAGAGCTTGGCAGGTTTGGACAGACGCAACAACATGATGTCCTGGTCATGGGTGGCAGGATTGTAGCCAGGGTGGACCACAGTCTTGATCACAGAAATGTCCTCTGTATTCTTCGACTGTCGAAGGTTGTGCTTCCCTAGGTAGACATGAAGCTTCCTGGGAGGAAGATGGGCTGGGTCTCACCTGGAGCCCTGGGCTATGGCTGGGGTTTCAGAGAGGTCTGGGGAGTCATGAGTCATCGGGCCTTCTCCACCCAGGTCTCCCCAGCCCAGACAGGAATGCCATCCTTCCAGGACAACCTTCAGGCTATGCTTGGATGTCTTAATTCACACCTCACATCATGTCCGGAAACCCATTTGATTCCCACTATGACTCCCATATCACACAGGGTAAAAGCTGTTCTCACCATGGCACAAGAGATCCTGCATGCATCCCTACCACCTCTTCAGCATCAGCTGCTCCTGCTCCCTCTCTCTTCTGTACTTCAGCCACATCGGCTTTCTGCCTTCCCTTGAACACAACAGTGGCCTTCCCACCACAGGGCCTTTGCACAGCTATTCCCTCTGGCTGCAACGCTGTTCCTCAGGCATCTGCACCACCCAACCCTCACCTTCTTCAAGTGTCATCTCCTCAGCAAGGCCTTTCCTGGCTACCCAACTAAAATGCAAATGCTTACCCCAACGGGCAATTCCTGCCCCTGCCCTGCTTTCTTTTCTACCATAGAGCATATTATCACCCTTGGCTCTGCTATCTATTTATTGCTAAATGTTCATTTATTCTCTGGTGTCTCCTCCCCCCAGAGCCCTGCTGCCCAATGAGACTTTCCACCATGACAGCAGGTTCCCTGGCTGCACTGTCCAGCATGGTGGCTGCCAGCCACAGGGTTTCTCTTTTTATTCCATTTCATTAATTTAAATTTAGTTACTACAGTGGCTGATGGCTGTGATGTGAGGAGGTGGAGATGAGGATTTTCTGTCCTTTCCAGATGCAGAATCCCCTCTGTCTGAACCAGCAGCTGATAGGTATTTTGTAAATATTTCCAAAGCAAATGAAAGCATCGCTCCCTTGCTCAATGGTCAGGCTTTGGCGCCCCTGTGTGATTCGGACCTATGCACTTGCCAGCCTTCTGGGGAACTGGTTGCTCTCATTTCTTAGCGACTGGAAACCGTTGTCCCTGGGAGGGCTTTGTTCTCGTACTTCCCCTGCTGTGAGTGCTCTTCCCCCCCTTCACCTGGCCCCTCTTTCTCCTAGAGAAGTCAGTCTCTCCTGCTTTCCTCTCCTGCTTTCCTCCATCCAAAGTCGCTGTCCCTGTTTTCTTTATCCTCTCTTAGATTTAAAGGTAAGTTGTAATTATATGGGATTTGAAGGTTTGTTCCTCAAAGAGCTGCCTGGGTCCTGCCTGAGGGCAGGGCTGTATCTCTGTCATCCCCCCGTGAGGCACTGTCACCAACTGCAATCTGGGACTTGGTGTGGCCCCCAGGCCCTGGGCACTGAATGATGGTACCATGGGAGTGGGGTGGCCCCAGGTCTCCCAAAGGTGAGGGTCAGGGACACCACCTAGGGGTCACTGAGCCCATAACTGCACCCAAGGCCCATCCCCACAGTGAAGAGCGGCATCCATTGGTTTCCAAATACTTGAGTTGTCGCTGGAGACCTCTGTGAGCCTCAGTTTCCTCCTCTGCAAAGCGGTGCCAAGAATCACTCATCATGGGGATCCCGGAAAGGAGCCTAGACAGTCTCACCTAGCGCGGGCTGCACAGCTGTGGGAGGAGCCTAAACTGTCTCACCTAGCGCCGGCTGTGCAGCCTGTTAGGAGTGCGCCCTGGCCCTCTCTCCTGTCTGCACCTGCCTTTCCGATGACTCATCCTGTCCTGGAGCTCTAAGTAAGACCTGCTTGTTGATGGGGCCTTAATTTGACCCGCAGCGCTCCAGGCTCCCTGGAGTCCCTGCTTGGACGTTCCCTGGGGACCTGAAACTGCCCTCTGCTGTAGCCGACTGTCTCCCGCTCCCCTCTGCACACCCAGCCTGCTTCCTTCTCTCCCGGCTCAGAGACAGATGTGACAGCACCTGTGTGTGCAGGGTGGACACCTGGAGGCTGGGAGCGTCCCCCGTTCCCTCCTGTCTCTCAGTGCCACCTTCTGCTGGCTCAGTCTCCAAGCCCCTCCCATGCCCGCTGCCACCACCTGGTCCAAGGTGACATCTGTGGCCTTCAGAGCACCTCACAGCCTAGACGGGGACCTCCCTTCCTCGCCTCTCGCCCCTTCCTCCTTCCGCGTGGCAGACTAGATGCTCTCGGAACTGTACTCCAGGGCGTGAGGATTCCCGCAGGTGTCAGATTCACAGCCGCCCTAGGGCACGGATAACTGACTTCCCCATTAGCAGACAGGATCGTGAAAGCCACCCTTTTGCCTGTTCAGTGTTATTTCCTCTCCACTACCCTGTGTGGCTCAGCCAGTGGGTCCAGCGTCCATGGGTACAATCAACGATGCATTGAAGCTATTGGGACAAGCCTGTTTCCCCAGGAGGTACGGACTTCTGCCTGTCGCTCCCTACAACATCTACACAGCATTCACATTGTCTTGGGTATTCTAAGCAGGTGAGAAGGTTGAAGCTCTTTGGGAGGGAGGATGCTGGTTATATGCAAATGCCATGCCCAGAAGGAAGGATCCGCGCCTCCGCCTCCGAGAATGCCCCTCCTCTTCCGGAAGCCCGCGGGACGGGACGCCACAGGGCCTCACTGGGTCTGCCCCGCCCGAGGCGCGGACACTCACTCTTTTTTGCAGTGGGCAGCCGTGAGAACCCACTCCGGGTCGATGAGGACCCCGCCGCAGAGCAGGTGGCCCGAGTTGTAGAGAGCAGCTTGGTAGGGGTGAGAGTCCCTGTGGCAGGGCCCTCCGTGCACCAGTTTCTCCTGCTCCTCTGCGAAGGCTGTCGGGAGAAGCGTCTGAATCGGGAGAAGACGGAGCACCGGGCAGGGCCCCAGCGAGGGGAGCCCGGCCGCCGGTCCCACAGTCCCCCTCCCAGACGGCCACCTCCCCCACCGGAATTCCTCGATTCCCACCTCCAGCCAGGAGAACCAGGGCCACGGTCAGCATCTTCATGGCCATTCCTGCGGGGAACGCGCCCCATCAGTCAGGGTCTCTTCCCTCCCAGACCCAAGCCGCCCCTCCTCATCCCCCCCAACTCTGCTCTCCTGAGCTTGGCCTCCGCCCTGACCTCTCGCTGCCTGCGAGATTGGCTCTGCACTGAGCTTGGTGCACACCCGGCACCCTCCCCGTGGGTTCTGGACATTTGTGCTCTCACCTGCTGGTGGCAGCTGCCTGCTGGTCACAGGATTCTTGGATGGGGTGAGGGAGAGCCCCGAGGAAGGCAGGTGGGGAGCAGAGAGTGAGCAGTGCAGGCAGCCACCAGGAGAGCAGGGGGAGAGGAGAGACGCCAAGCGGGAAGCCTGCCTGGCAGTCAGAGGGAGAGAGACAGGGAGGACATCTGGCCGCAGGGACAGCCTGCAGGACGCTGGCTCTTGCTTGGGCGCTCCGGATGCTCCTGGCACTTCCTTTTAACCCCCATCTCCCCAAGCCTCTGAGCCGGGAGTCTGGCCCCTCCCTTTTCCTCCTAACCCAGGCCACCCACTCACATTCCTTCTGCCCCAGTGACCCCTGACCCTGCTGCAGCAAGGGAGCAGATTCCTGATGCCTGGGCCTGGATCCCCCGGTCTGAGGCAGGAGGCTGGGCCTGGATCCCTGGGTCTGAGAGAAGATAGGAGCTTGTTCTCCTTAGTTTTGGAGTTCTAGGCTTTTGAAAAAGAAGCTGACTTTTCTGCTTCCCTGCCTGTGATTGCTCAGGGACTTGTAAGCCCTCACTCCTGGGTCTGCAGCGCCTGGGACTGGAACCTGCCACCTCGGTTCAGTGGGGTTGGGGTGACTCACCTGCCTGTGAGTCCCGCTGTGGGTGCTCCGGACATTCGTGTCCCCGGGAAAGTGCAAAGAGCCAACGAGAAAGGGTGTGTCACCAAGCTGGCCCCCGCCTCTGCACCAGGCTGGGGAGGGGCCGGGAGCTGTGGGGAAAGGGCCCTGGGACAATCGGGCTTTGTCAGCTGCCACCCCAGTGCCAGGCTCCCAGCAGTTCCACTTCTCAACCTCTTTTCCAGGCCACGCAGGAGGCTGTTTCCCTTTGTCCCTGGCTGACTGAGAGCCCGCCTGCTGTGGTCCCTGGACTGAGCTGGCCCGGCCCTGTATTCTAGGACTCTCCAGTGTCACGGTCCCTCCTACAAGTCTGCCCACCTCTTGGGTCCCGGATCCGGCTGCCTGGCCACAGAGGAGCCGTCTCCAGGGTGGATGTCTGTCTCTTCATCTCCAACTCTTGTGTTTCTCTCTTTACCTTTTCCTCTTTCTCCATCTTTTCCTCTTGTCCCCTCTTCTCCTCTGTCTCTGTCTCTGTCTCTGTCACACTCCTTATTTCCCTTTCATTCTCTGGCTCTTTTTTTTTTCCTGGTACCAGGCATTGAACTTGGGACCTTGCGCTTTTGAGGCAGGCAGCGGTTCCACTGAGCTAAATCCCTGGCCCTGTCTGGCTCTTTCTGATTATCATTCCCTGGGTCTCCTATAGATTTCCTGGGGAAACAGGTATGATGGAAATATAAGCTAAATGTTTAAATTTTAAAAAGTTATTACAGTAGAAGATGCACTGCCATGAATCTCCCTCCAGTGCTCCTCCTGTTGTTCAAACACACTCACGAAGCAGTTCTGGAAGTCCTCTTCCATGAGAGGATAAAGTAGATAAAGACACACTGCCGTGTTTTCATAAGCCTGCATTTCCGTTGAATGGCACTGGGCAGTGGTGTTCACCTTATGTTTGATCATGCCTGGTAAAGATGCTCAGGAAAGAAGGCTTCCAGAACTGCTCCAGAAAGTGACAAGAATGATGGGATAAGTGTGTTGGGAGCAAGGGGATGAATATTTTGAGGGGAGCTAATGGGAATGTGTCTTTTACTGACGTACATTTTATTTAAACACTCATGGTAGATTTTTTTTTTTTGGTACTGGGGATCAAACTTGGGTCCTTGTGCTTGTGCAGCAGGTGACGAAACCACTGATCTAAATCCCCGGCCCCTCACTCACTGTAGATTTTGATCACTCTGCGTTATGTGTTTGCAGACTGCAGCTGGGCTGCTGGGGTGCCCGACGGGATGGTGCAGGAGCCATGGGGAAGCTGGTGGGGTGCAGGAGGATCTGAGGACACTCTGCTGAGGTCCAGACACTCAGGGAGAGAAACAGAGAGAGAGAGAGAGAGCAGCAGGACACAGAGTGAGACGAGAAGGGAGCTTGCGGAATTGCAAAGACGCCTTTGAACTTGAGCCCCAGGAGTGGAGAGAAATGTTGGTCAAGAGGAGAAGGTGAGAAAGACCGGCAGGAGGGGTGGGGGGGAAGCAGGCGGTGGTCGTGAGGGATGTGGGGGAAGGTGTGGCCAGGTGGAGGGGGCGTGTCTTAGGGTCAGTGGGGAAGAGCAGAGATAGGGCTCTGGGGAAATCACTGGGCAGCAAGGACAATGGCTGTGAATAATGTCTGCCTCAGCACCTGCGTGGGTTTGGCACCTCCGGTAACCTTTTTTGTCCTTGCATCAAATCTAATTGCCACCTTAATTTGCTCAGCCCTGTGAGCCGCAGGATGAAGGCCAAGTTGGTATCCAGCGAGCCCTGCGCCCTTCCTGATTGGTCCCCATGGCACACACACCTTCTTTGCAGCCCACCGGCTTCCCAGACAGAGTTGCGGCCCGCAGGCCTGCTTGGCCCCCCGACCCTGTCTCATGGCCTCTTCTCTCTGTGAGGTCCCCTCCTCTCTGTCCCCACGCCCTGGCCCCAGTGCAGACCTGCTCTTCTCCCGTGGACCATCACCTGGGCGTCCCTCATCATCGGTATGGCCCCTGGACCCGAGGGCTCCTCTCGGCCCGGCTGGCACTGACCTGCCCACAGAGGCCCAGCCCTGGCCTGGCATCAGAGCAGCCCCGCACCAGAGAGACAGGTGGGACCAGTGCCCTTTCATGCTTGCAGTTTCTAGCAGTCCCAAGTTTCTGTTTTCGTTTTGTTTTTAAAGAGGCTGGGGATGTGGCTCAGTGGCAGAGCTGCTGCCTAGGATGCACAGAGCCCCGGCTGCCATCCCCAGCAACAGAAGGGGAAACAAGTTGTAAAAAGATGTTAAATGTTCTTATCTCACAAAAGAAGTGTGAGGGCTGGAGATTTAGCTCAGTGGTTCCAGCTCCTGCCATACAAGCACACGGCCCCGAGTTCGATCCCCGGTACCAAAAAAAAAAAAAGAGAAAAGGTAAAAAGAGACAGGAAGAAACTGAACGTGGTGGCCCATGTCTGTAATAATCCCAGCTCTCTGGAGGACTGAGGCAAGAGGATTGCAAGTTTGCAAGTTTAAGTCCAGCCTGAGCAACTTAGTAACTCAGTGAGACCCTATAAATAAATAATAAATAAATAAATAAATAAATAAATAAAAAGGCCAGGAATGTGGCTCATTGCAAAGGGCCTAGGCTCAAGCTTCAGTACCACCAAAAAAGGGGGAAGAGTTCATTTTAATATTTCATTTAACTCGATGTATTCAAACCATTACGGGTTTAACACGGAATTATAATAAGAAAAATAGCAAAGGGATGGTCTGCCTTATTCCTTGGCATTCTAAGTGCCTGGAATCTGAGGTGTCTTTTCCGCTTACAACATTTCTCAGCAGGAACACACCTGCAGCCATCGCAGGCCGTTTCACACAGCCGCCCACCTCCAGCCTCCGGGCCCTGTTAAGCATCCCTGGGCACTGCTGCACAAAGCCACACCGCTGGCCTTGGGACTTCCATTCACGCTATTTCTTTGGGGTGGAATGTTCTCCCCACCTTTTCCTGACAGCAACCCCCTGTCCTTCCAGTCTTTGCCTCCACAAGGCCTCCTGCAGGAAGTCTTCCCGGATCACTGCCAGCCCCCACCTGCTGCGGTTGGTTAGTCACTGTCATGCGGTCACATGCAGGTGCCTCCCTGTAGTCACTCTGGACCAGGGCCATCTGGATGGACGTCCACGTGCAGCCTCCCTCATTGCACCTGGAGCTTCTCGAGGGCAGGCACTGGGGCTGACTCAGCTCTGAGTTCCGAGGACCTGTGGAGGACCCGGCCCAGAAGAACCTCAGGAAATGCTGACCCAATGACTAAATGACTTCATTACGCCCACTCCTGTTTCGCAGATAAGACAACTGAGGCTTAGAGGAGGGAGGTTCATTGCTCAACGTCAAATAGCCGGCAAGTGGCGAGACAGTCGGGGACCACCATGATGAGACAAAAGTCAGGGACAATAAAATAAGCCCCTGGGAAATTTTATAAATTGTCACCCTTTATAGCACGGCATGTTGCTTCTCTGCCCTTGGGCTCTTTCAGTAGACTCATCAAAGACACTGGTGAAACCACAAAAGCAAAATACTGCATAAGATGAGAAATAGTTACCAAGAAAGGCCCGGCTAAACCCTCTAGCTGCACTTGCTCTTAGTCGACTCCAGGGTCACAGTTTGGAGGCTGCACAGCTGGGTGATGCACTACCGGTTCTTCACTCATGCGCTGTCAGTGACACCTTTGTCGTGTGGGTCATGGTTACTGCCGCTTGCTTCGGCTGAGACCCCTGTCCCTTCACATAGGTCTGCAGATCCCCAGTGGATAACTAGAACAAGATGGGAGGCCTGGCATCGCTGTCTTCATATTGTGTTTGTCCCCTTTGCTGCCTTAACCTTCGGCTCAGATTCTACTCAGAGCTGTGATGCAGTCGTGTTGATTACCCACTGGAGCTGGTTATGTGTTTCCTTTTTCTCCCTGTCTTTTCTCTTTCCTACCCCCGCTCTTGTGCTTCTTCACCTGCCATAGCAGTCTGAGCACCTGAAGTTCTTTGACCCTCTCCTGGGGCCCAGATCCAAGAGGCTGGGATGCTTAGCCTGGGATGATGGTGCCAGCTACGTGAAAATTCAACTGCTTCTGGGAGAGGTTGACAGTGACCACCCCCTGGTCCAAACCTTACACAACAAACACCTTTTGGAACTGTGTCCCGGGTCGGTGGAAACTGACTGATCAGTTAAAGCTGGCTTCTCCCCCTCCTTGGAGGGCAGCTCGGTCCCTCTCTCCATCAACCGCTGACTCCCCTCAGCTGAAGACCCCCACCCCAAGTAAAGTCTTGCCTATGTTCGTGCTTGCAATACTTGGCCCCAATACTTGTATAGCGATACTTGGAATACAGGGGTTGGCGGTGGACCTCCAACATGGTGTGGGGTATGGCTCATCTCTTGGTGACACCCTGGGGCCACCTCACTACAATATGAGGTGGATGCACCTGGGAGGAATCCTTGAGAGCCACGTGGGGAAAGGAGGATGACAGACCACAGGGAGTGCAGGAATTTCTAAGAGGGAGGGTGAAGCCCCAACTCCACCACCTGCCAGGGACCCTGGACAGAGACTCCCATGGTCTTACCATCTCCACAGGCTATACATGCTCACTCGCTGGGCATTCGCCTCCAAACTGACTTGCTGTGCAAAGGGTTTGAATATAGACATTGTTTAACAAGAAATGTAACAAGAAAAATGCCAGAAGTCATAAACAATAAGAACCAATATTCACCGAAGGCTTATTCTGAGTCAGTGTTGCAGCACTTTCTGCATATTAATTAATCTTCATAATAAGCCTGTGAAATGGGTGGTTTTTTCTTCCATTTCTGGGATAAAGGAAGAGGAACGGGGACATGATGTAGCAAGAGAGGACAGCGGGGGCTGGGGCGTGACTCAGGGGTACAGAATGTGCTTAGCATGCAGGAGGCCCCGGACCATCCACAATGGATGCGTGTGCATGCACAGGCACGCACACACACACACACACACACACAAGCGAATAGCTTGTAAATGCTGCAACCCAGAGTTGAATCTGAAACAGAAGGTTAAAAGTTTCAGTATGAGTACATCTCAGGTCATGGCAAGCCAATCCATCTCAAAGTTGTACAGAAAAAGAGGACCAGGAGCTTGCAGGCTGCATTACCATGACTGTTCTGTTCTGTTACTTTTTACAGTTTTAGATTCAATATTGATTTGGGGTCCTGACAGGAGAGAAAGAAGTTGATAGAGCTTAGTGGGGACTAAGGCAAAATTCCATGACATTCTTTATTTTTTAAAAAGGCCCAAAGACACAAGGAATTGGAGCCAGGACTCTGATGTCTGAAAAAGGAAGTGCTATGGGTCTGGTCTCCCTGGGTCTGAGGGAGGAGGGTGGACCTGGAGCTCAGGTCTGAGGGAGGAGGCTGGGCCTGGACCCCCAGGTCTGAGGGAGGAGGCTGGGCTCTTTGATGTTTGTGTCCCATGTGCCAGCATCAGCAGCTGCAGACTCTGTAGTGTTAAGGGTGGAGGGTGGGTCAGGAGAGATTCAGGGGAGATTAGTTGAGAGGAAGCACCTGGAGGATGACAGCAGGAAGGGAATTCCAGAAAGAAGAGCACAAATTACAGGCAGGAAGGACAGGTCCTGCACTGGAGCGCATCCCTGTGTCAACAGTGTCTGTGTGTGACCGCCCAGAGATCTCTGGTGTTGGGGACTGTGGCCAAGCACTGAGTCACACAAACTCCTCCTCCTCCCTTCCCAACTTGTTCCCCCCCTTCCAGCCACCGTCTTGCTCTGGTCCTGGGACTCTGGTCCTTCCGGGACCCTGGTGCCGTCTACCTGCCACTCCCATCCCTCACTGAACCTCCTTTGTTCCTCCTGTTTGTCAGCCATGAGGTGCTCAGAAACACTCACACACCACCGCCACCACAATGAGGCAGGCATAGCCTCTCCTCCTTCCCTTCCTCTCTCCTTCTCTTTCTTTTTCTTTCTCCCATTTCACAGATGAGGAAAAGTGAGACCCAGGAAACAGACAGACACATCACAGAACAGCAAGGCAGCACCAGGCTCAAAACTGGATGCGGTTTCTTTCTGACCTCCATCCTTCAAGTGTCTCCTCCCTCCAACCTTAGACTGCCAAGTGTTCCCTCCTCTACTTTTCAAGATCTGAAAGTGTGCATCTACAGCACCATAAATGTGAAGGAGGAGACATCTAAGGTCAACACCACATGCAGTTGGGATGTATTCTTTCCAATTTTATTCTGAGTGTGTCATTTTACATGGCTAGGATCACATACATTTTTCTTTTGTGGCTTCCTTGTTCCATTTCACATTGTATAGCAGGAATATTTTTGCATGGCACTCACAGTTCTGCTTAAGTGTTATTCTCCATGGCTTCCTTGTGTCCTTGAACAAACTGACCTATTGTTTAAATAATCCACTTGCTCTGGAACAGGTTCCATATTTCTTCCCTCTTTTGCCACAATAAATAATGCAATGAATTCAACTCTTGCTCCACATTTTGTACCCTTTTTCTTTTCTTTTCTTTTTTTGGTACTGGGGATCAAACTCAGGACCTTGCACTTGGGAGACAGGCGGCTGGCACCACTGAGCTAAATCCCCAGCCCTCCTTTTTTGTTTTTCAGTCCTATCTTCCTAGAATTAGAATTTCTGGGTTGAAGTCAGTGAAAGATGGCCTCTATTTATGAGAACAAACCTTTTGCATAGAGACTGAATGAATCCTCAGCTCCAGGTCTTGAGAGTGCTGGTCTCACTCCAATTTTCCACAGCACTGAGGTCCCTTTTCTTTACTTGTTTTGATTTTAGGTCCTTGCTATGTTTTTTTTTTTTTTTTTTTTTTTTTTGCAGAAGACGGCATACGAGATCCTGGTAGGTGACTGGAGTTCAGACGTGTGCTCTTCCGATCTTTTGTACTGGGGATCGAACTCAGGTCCTTGCACTTGCACAGCAGGCAGTGAAACCACTGAGCTAAATCCCCGGCCTATGTCCCTTGCTATTTTTAAGAAATCTTTCTTTTCATGATCAGTAACCACAATCCTGTGTTCTATATCTGTTATTCTGTTCTCACATTGGCTCATTCTGTTGTGTGTACTTTTACCACAATCCTGTGTTCTATATCTATTATTCTGTTCTCACATTGGCTCATTCTGTTGTGTGTACTTT